TATTATGGTCTTAATTAAAATTTACCAGCTTGGTAACCAGAGTAAACAGTTCTGAGCAATTCGCTTAGTCCTATATACTTGCTCTTTCATAAAATCCTTACCTGAGTTTTCTTTTTTCTTTTGCTCTATTTTTCTATTGGGCTTTTTTCTGTTTACTTATTGTTCTTCAAAAGTTTTTTTTTAAATACGCTCTCATTACTTCAATCAGTTATATGAATTGCATGAATCTTTTCCCACTTTGTAATTGCCTTTTTTCATCTGCTTATGGTGTTTCTGATGAACAAGAATTTTAACTTTCAAATAAAAGGCATCCAAATCAGAAAGAAGGAAACAAAACTGTCACTGTTTGCAGATGACATGATAGTGTACATGGAAAATCTTATAGACTCCACCCAAAAACTGCTCGACCTAATAAATGAATTTGGCAAAACAGCAGGATACAAAGTCAATATCCAGAAATCAAAGGTGTTTTTGTATACCAACAATGAAACAGCAGAAGCAGAAATCAAGAAAGTAATCCTATTTGATATAGCAAAAAGAAAAATAAAATACCTGGGAATAAATCTAACCAAGGAGGTAAAAGACCTGTATACAGAAAACTACACAACACTGAAGAAAGAAATCAAGGAAGACACAAACAAATGGAAGCATATACCGTGTTCATGGATTGGAAGAATTACCATCATCAAAATGTCCATACTACCCAAAGCAATTTATAGATTCAATGCAATACCTATTAAAGTACCAATAGCATATTTTATAGATATAGAACAAACACTTCAAAAATTTATATGGAACCATAAACAACCCCGAATAGCAGCTGCACTTTTGAGAAAGAAGAACAAAGTAGGAGGGATCACAATACCTGATACCAAACTGTATTACAAGGCCACTGTAATCCAAATAGCCTGGTGCTGGCATGAAAACAGGCACATAGACCAATGGAATAGAACAGAGAGTCCAGAAATCAACCCAAGTCTCTATGGTCAGTTAATATTCGACAAAGGGGGCAGCAACATAAAATGGAGTAAAAACAACCTCTTCAACAAATGGTGTTGGGAGAACACCATTTGTTGGACAGTTACATGCAAAAAAATGAAACTTGAGCACAGACTTACACCATATACCAAAATAAATTCAAGGTGTATAAAAGACTTAAATATAAGCTGCGACACCATTAAAGTCCTAGAGGAAAACCTAGGCAGGAAAACCTCAGATATTTCACACAGCAATATTTTTACTGATATGTCACCTAGAGCAAAGGGCATAAAGGAAAGAATAAACAAATGGGATCTCATCAAAATAATAAGCTTTTGCATGGCTAAAGAAAACAGTATTAAAATAAAAAGAAAATCAACCATATGGGAAAACATATTTGCCAATGATATCTCAGACGAGGGTTTAATCTCCAAAATATACAAAGAACTTACACAACTTCACTCTAAGAAGACAAGCAACTTAATTAAAAAGTGGGCAAAGGACTTGAACAGACAGTTCTCTAAGGAGGACAATACAGAAGATCCAGAGACACATGAAAAGATGCTCAATATCGCTAGCTATCAGAGAGATGCAAACCACTTCACACCTGTCAGAATGGCCACCATAAACAAAGCAACAAACAACAAGTGTTGAAGAGGTTGTGGAGAAAATGGGACCCTGGTTCATTGTTGGTGGGATTGCAGACTTGTACAACCACTATGGAAAAACAGTATGGAATTTTCTCAGAAAACTAAAAATGGATCTGCCTTTTGACCCAGCAATTCTACTGCTAGGAGTATATCCTAAGGACCCTGAAACACCAATTCAAAAGAACTTATGCACCCCTATGTTCATAGCAGCACACTTTACAATAGCCAAGTGTTGGAAGCAACGCAGGTGCCTATCAGTAAATAAATGTATCTAAAAACTATGGTATGTTTACACAATGGAATTCTATGCAGCAGAAAGAAAGAAGGAGCTCCTACCCTTTGCAACAGCATGGATGGGTCTCAAAAGCATTATGCTGAGTGAAATAAGCCAGGCAGTGAAAGACTAATAATATATGCTCTCAACTTTAACAGGAAGCTAAACAACAAAACAAACAAACAAGCAAAATATAACCAAAGACACTGAAATAGAGAAGAGGCTGACAGTGACTGGAGGGGAGAGGGGAGGGAATTTAAGGGGGAAAAAGGGGAAGGGTTTACAGGAACAAGTATAAAGAACACATGGACAAAAATTAAGAGGTGTGGAAATGGGAGAGAGGTGGGGAGCACTGGGAGGGGTGGGCTGGGATGGGAGTAAAAGACAGAAAACTGTACTTGAACAACAATTAAAATAAATAAATGAAAAAAAGGAATGATACAAATAGAAAAAATAAACCAAATGTTGGTAGGAAAACAATGTTAACTTTCATATAGTCAAAGGTACCGATATTTTTAATTACTACTTTTTGAGGTTTATTTAATAATTGTTTTTATTCCCCAATGTCTATATTATTAGTTTATATTTTCTTAGAATACTCAGATTTTATTTTTAACATGGGGTGGACAGGATACTGCCCTCCTCTAAAGAGGTCATGAGTGCATGAGATGGATGCAGCACCCTGTTTCTGGTTCCGAGATACAAGGGGAGACTCCAAGACAGGAATATACTTATAAAAAACTGTGCGCTTATTCTTACATGTTTAAACTTCAGTCACCTTTGAAGCACTCTCCATTTCATGCAATATACCTATTGAGATGTTTTTCCACTGCCCCGAACAGTTTTTGAACTCGGCAATTTTGACGCTTTTTAGTGCTTCTGCCGTTTTTTGTTTCACCTCTTCCACATTTGCAAAACATTTCCCTTTGAGGAATTTTTTAATCCAGGGAAACAAAAAAAGTTGCTGAGTTTGCAGTCAAGTGAATTGAGAGGATGGTGCACAGGTGTCATGCCATTTGTGGTCAAAAACTGCTCAGTGCCGTGTGGACAGGTGTGTTCATAAATCAGCCATCATGAAGTGGGCAGACATGTTGGAAGAGTCTTAAAAGATACTCACTAAAGCTGAATGCAGCCTCTCACAATAATGCCAGCTGGTACGATGATACAGATGGCTTCCTAGAACACTCATCTATAGCAGGGGAAATCTTTTCACCACACGAATAGCTCCAGCAATTTTGAGAAAGAAGAACAAAGCACGAAGAATCACAATATCTGATATCAAACTGTATTACAAGGTCATGGTAATCAAGACAGCCTGGTACTGACATAAGAACAGACATGCAGATCAATGGAACAGAATAGAGAGCCCAGAAATAAACCCAAGTCTCTATGGTCAATTAATATTCAACAAAGGGAGAGAAGCAAAAAATGGAGTAAAAACAGCTTGTTCAGCGAATGATGTTAAGAGATCTGGACAGCTACATGAAAAAAATGAGACTCGACCACCAACTTACACCACATACAAAAATAAACTCAAGATGGATAAAAGACTTAAACATAAATTGTGATACCATAAGTCCTAGAAGAGAATTTAGGGAGGAAAATCTCAGATATTACACACAGCAATATTTTCACTCATATGTCCCCTAGAGCAAGGGACATAAAGGAAAGAATAAGCAAATGGGACCTCATCAAAACAAAAAGCTTCTGCATGGCTAAAGAAAATATCAGCAAAATAAGAAGGGAACTGACTGTATGGGAAAACATATTTGCAAATGATACCTTGGACAAAAATTTCATCTCCAAAATATATAAAGAACTCACACAACTCCACTCCAGGAAGACAACAATCCAATTACAAAAATAGGCTAAGGACCTGAACAGACATTTCTCTAAGGAGGACATACAGAGGGCTCATAGGAATATGAAAGGATGCTTAACATCACAAACCATCAGAGAGATGCAAATTAAAACCACAATGAGATAGCACTTTACACTGGTCATAATGGCCATCATAACCAATTCAACAAACAAAAAGTGCTGGCTAGGTTGTGGAGAAAAGGGAACCCTAGTGCACTGTTGGTAGGAATGCAGACTGGTGCAGGCACTGTGGAAAACAGTATGGAATTTTCTCAGAAAACTAAAAGTGGAACTGCCTTTTGACTAGGCAATTCCACTGCTTCGAACTATACCCTAAGATCCTGAAACACTAATTCAAAAGAATCTAAGCACCCCAATGTTCATAGCAGCACAATTTATAATAGCCAAGTGCTGGGAGTAACATAAGTGTCCACCAGAAAATTAGTGGATCAAAACTGTAGACATTTACACAATGGAATATTATGCAGCAGAAAGAAAGAAGCAGCTTCTACCCTTTGCAACAGCATGGATGGATCAGGAGAGCATTATGCTGAGTGAAATAAGGTGGGCAGGCAAAGACAAATACCATATAATCTCACCTATAAGTGGAATATAATCAACAAAACAAATAAGCAAACAAAATATAACCAGAGACAAGGAAATTAGGAACAAAGCGACAGTAACCAGAGGGGAGGTGGGAAGGGATAATGGAGGGAATAGGGAGAAGTGTTCTCAGGAATGTGTGTAAAGGACACACGGACAAAGCCAAATGGCGATAGGCTGGAGGGTGGGAAGTGGGTATGGTTGGGGTGGGGATAGTGGTGGTGGGGAAATGGAGACAAGTGTACTTGAACAACAACAACAAATGATGAAAAAGAAATAAATATAACATGCAACCCCCACAAAACAAATAATGCCACTATGGAAATTCATGTACATGTTTTTATATGGGCACACAATTCCATTTTGTGGGAGTAAATACCTAAGAGTAGAACTTCTGGGTCATATGATAATTCCAAGTTTGAGTAACAAACTGTTTTTTACAATGTATGAACCATGTTACATATAATCGAGATGTTATTTCCTTTTAAAAATTATTATTTTTAAATAATAGCCTCCTTGTGGGTGTGCAGTGGTATCTCTTTGTGGTTTTAATTTACATATCCCTAATGACTAATGGATGGTTAGGATCATTTTTTTACTGTTTATGCTATTATAGTCGTCCCATTTTTTTTTAAACCTGTTTCGCCCCTTCAGGAAAGAATGGCCACTCTTAGGTCCCAGGGAGATCCTTTCTCTCTCTCCCCATTACGAAAGTCGCACATGTGCAAAAAGGTGTAACTGTGCAGAGCTGAGAGAGTAGTTGTCCCATTTTTAATCCCTTTGCTCACCTCCACCCATCCCGATGCCCTCCCCTCCCTGAGCCAATCCCCTTATCTTTGCCCCTGTCCAGCATGAACGTTCTTTGGTCAATCTCTTCACCACCTTTCATCTAGTCCTTGCCTCTTCCCCTTCAGCAGTTGTGAGAATCTTTGTATGTACTTGCTGGTCATCATCTTTTTTGGAAAAATGCCTACTTAAGACATTTGCCTGTTTCTTAACTGAGTTTGTTTGTTTATTTTGGTTATTGGTTTGTGAGGGTCTCTATATATTCTAGAAAGTAGACCCCGATCAGACATGCTGTTTACTCCCATCGTGAGGGCTCTCTATTCACTTTTTTCATACTTTAAAAAATTTTTTTTTCTAAAAAATTTTTTTTAGTTATTTTTCAAGTACAGTTTTTTTGTCTATTTCTCCCATCCCAGCCCCCTCATCATTTTTTAATATAACAATATTGTAATTTTGATTGAGTACGTACTACCATTTTTTCTTTTGTTGGCTTATAATTTTGGTGTGATAGTCATGCATCCATTGTTATATCCAAAGTCATAAAGATTTAGCCCTATGTTTTCTAAAAGTGTTGTAATTCTAGCTCTTACATTTAGGCCATTGATCTATTTTTAGTTAATTTTGATGTATATTATGAGGTAGGAATCTAGGATTTCTTTTCGTTTGCCTGTGGCTGTTCAGTTTTCCCAACACAGATAGATAAAGATACTACTTTCTTGCAATTGAGTGATCTTGAAAGCCTTGTCAAAAATCAATTTGCGATAGATGTATGTGTTAACTTCTGAACTGTCAATTATGTTCTATTGGCATTTGTGTGTATACATATGTCAGCACCATGGTTTCTTGATTAACATAGCTTTTAGAAGTTTTAAAATAAATGTGAGTGTGTGAGTGTGTGTGTGTGTGTGTACTGGAAGTGCTGTCTGGGGTTTCAGTTTGAAGAATCTTCAAAACGTATCAAAGACCTAAATGTAAAAGCAAACTATAATACTCTTAAGATTAAGGAAAACATAAGAGTAAATTTTCATGTGTTTGTGTTTGGTAGTGATTTCATATACATGACACCAAAATCTCCCAAAATAAATTAAATCTTCACATTGATAAGAGACGTATTCCCACCCTATATTCTTCTTCAAAAGTATCTTAGCCTTGAACTTTTGGTCTCCCAAGAAAATTTTAGAATCACCTTTTCAAGTTCAATAAAAAATCCTGCCCTAGATTTATTAAAATGACAAGTATTTAAAAGAATGAGATATCTACATGATGAAGTATAAAGATTTATTAAAATGCCAAAATATTTATAATAGAAATAGATGATCCACAGGATTGAATAGGAAGTCCCCCAAAACTGATAGTGTCCTCTGAAGAATAGTTTTAAATTTTGATACAGTACAATTTGTCTGTTCTTGTGTTTGATCCACTTTGCATCAATTGTTGCATGTGATGTGAGTTAAAGGTCCAGCTTCACTACTTTGCATGTGGCTGTCCCATGTCCAGGTGTCCCAGCACCACCTTTGGAAGACTGTTCTTTTTGCACTGAGTGGTCTTGGTTTATTATAAGAAATCAGTTCACCATAAACACACAGTTTTATTGCTGGACTAAGAGACAAATAAAAGCATTTAGTTATCAGCCCAGATAGTTTGAAATAGATATAGTTTTGGGAGTTCCTTGGAAAGTTATATATCTTCTAATTACATAGCTATGAAAGCTTTTAATTTCTGAGATTCTGGTACTGCCCGTATTATGGGTACATTATTCTATTGAATCATCAGTGTAATAACAAAATATGAGTATTTTAATGTGATTACTACTGATTAAAAACAGAGAATGTGATGAGTCCTAGTGAACTTTAAAGTCAGACCACATGGGCAGAATCCTGAGTGTGCCAACCCCACGCTAAAGGTTCTTAACATCTTTGTGTTTCAGTTTTCTTATTGTAAAACAGCACCTAGCTCATAGGACTGAGGTGAGGATTAAATAATTTAATACACCTAAAACACTTAAATTAGTGTCTAACTCAGAGAGCTCTATAAATGTTATAATTATTTCAAGAATAAGAAGATTTGGATGCATAAAATTAGACCATTTGTTCCAGGTAATTAAACTAGAAATTAATGTGGTTGATAGAGCAAATGACTTCTGTGCCTATGCTCTGGACTGCTCTGTTTTCTGCTTCCCATGACGTTTATTTAGATTATTATTTTTTATTGTTTTATGGGTGACTAGTGCTGCCTGTTTTGAAAATTTCCCGGGTGGAAAGCATTGAAGTTTAAAGGGCAGAAAATTTTGGAAAAGCAATCTTCATCCATTTCTGTGTTAGACTGGTCTCCAAATTCTCTTCTGAGCAATCTTTTGGTGCTGCTCAACGGTACTTCATTATCTAACTTGTATTGAGGTGAGATGGCCATCTATTAAATTATATGTCATGGTCAGACTGTGATTTTATAGCTCTACTTACTATATGGGTGACTCTTATTGTGTTAACCTGCCCTTAACTGATCACATATAATATCTGCATGCCAGGCTTTATAGAGATAATGTAAACTCAAATCATAGATCTTTACTCTTTATTAAAAACTGTGTTAACACAGGTTTCCTGAGAAATTCTCAGTCCATTCATTCTTTTTTGTGTTTTAATCTATCTGCCCAATTATACAATACATTATCTATACAGTATTTTGTGTGGTCACCACCCCAAGGCAACTCTCTGTCCATCACCATTTATCCCCTTATATTCTCCTTCACTTTCCCCCACAAGCCCTCCCCCTGGCAATCACCACTCATTTTGGTAGATGTTTAAGATGTATTATTAAATTAAGTCCCATAATCAGAGCACTGAGCATTTAGTTTGCATTAGTATGTCCCCTTACAAGATCATTTAAAATAAATTCCATCATGGAATTATGCAAATGACTGAAGTTGAGGCATATATTAATAATAGTTCTATAAACCCAGTCTTGTATCTGTTTTGAGGATTTGACACAACACATGTATTAAATTCTTGACATATGCCGGGCACTATCAATTTGTCAATATACAAAAATAGTCAAAGATCACAGATTTGCAAGGACAGAGTAAACACATAAGTGCAAAAAACCTGTTGTACCTGGCAGAGTATCATTACATACCAGCAACAGCAAAGTAAGTGGATCAAAGTTTGATCCACTTTTCAAAGGTTGATTCACATTTCACTTGAACAGTCAGGAAGGTGTTCCTGGCAGAGAAGACAGAGATAGTAAAGGAAAGTAGTCTGTCTTCATGGAGGGCTTGGACACAGAATGGAAGAGATGATAAGGTGGTGCTACGATGAAGGAAGGGTCCAGTTTTCTTTCACTTACTTGTTTTGATTTGTTTGTAGTGGGGAAGATTTGAACAGGTTTTTAGAGTGTTGGAAGGAAGCTTTGGAAAAGTGAAATGCCTGTTGCTTATCATTTCTCCTTGAGCAGATTGAGAGTGGCCATAAATACAGCAGCTCACACTTCTAGTCCAGGTTGCTAGTATCAGAGGGAGCAGCATGGTTCTTATTCTTTAGTAATTATGGTAATGGTTTCAATCTGCCTGCTGGTTTCCTGAAAGACTGGCAAAAAGGCTTGACTTTATTTTGAATAATGTGGAGCATTCCAAGGACTGAGATGGCTCCTTGGGTGGCATTTGCTGAGATTTTAAAGGTAATAGAGAGGAGTTTAGACATGCAATAGGCAGCCAGGAAAGTGTGGGAAGGGAGAAGCTGGAAAAATAGATGAATGGGAGAAAAAAGCTTATAAAAATTCTTATATTTACTAGAGGGTCAAGAAAGACATATACATGCAGAATTGGATGCCTGCTTAGAAGGTATGTGAGGCAACCCTAAGCTTATAATTCTGGATGACTTTCATGCTCTACATAAGCAAAAAGTGAAGGTTAAAGCAGATTGTGAATAGCTTGGATAAATGGTGAAGGAGTGCCCTCACACAGAGCCAATCTGCAAATATTAGAAGAGCATTTTTTTCTTTTGGCCCCAAGAGTTTAAGAAAATCTTTATCAAAACATTTGTTGACCAATAGAACAGAGACTTCAATGGTCACACACACAAAGAATAAAGACACGAGAGTAGTTTGGTAAAGTTAATAAATTAAACGAACCATAAAGACCCACAACAAGCAGTGACAGAAAATCTGGGGTGGGGGGAGAATCTGATTTTTAGAGTTGCCACATTATAATATTTAAAAATCCCCCTTTTAACAACAACAATTATGAGCCATATAAGTAAAAAGAAAGTCTAGTTCACTCACAGGAAAGAAAAGAAGTTAACATAAATATTACCAGGCTAAAGGGTTGCATTTGCCAGCATGGGCCTAAACCCAGTAAGACAGGACCTTGCAGCAAAGAAAATGAGGTTTCATAACTTGAGGAAGTGGCCCACACCCAGAATCACAGGTGAGCTAATGCTCACAGACCTGGCTCCCTGTTGTCTCTCGGGAATGGCATCTAGGGAAAAATCACTAATCATGGTGACTAAAGGAGTTAGGGTCCTGGTCAGGGTCGTGGTCTCTACTGATTGGTTGCACTAAGGTAGGGGGCACTTGATCATTGAATCTGATCCTGACGTCAGCCATGGTGTCCTCCATTTGGTTTCCCCTATTTTCTGGGTGCTGAAATGCAACCAGGCCTAGATATATTATGTTTACTTTGACTGAAACTCTGTCTCTGGTGTCGATAGGCCACAGTAATTGCTCCTAAGATAATCTGATGCCAATCAGGGCCTCCTTGTCTGAGGCCTTATTAATTAAGAGAGTAGATGTGGAAAAGGAGGCAGGTGAATAAGGGTGCTGGGGGAGTCCAGTCTGAATCAAAAGGAAAAAAGGGAGAAAATGTCATGTTAAAGAAATGATGTTTCTGCCTGGTTACAGAAACAGTCTGAGAAAGTGCAGGCATTGGCTTTACTAAACACAGATTTTATTTATTAAAATAAAATACAGCAGCAGAATATGC